GAGCGCGAGCGCATGCACGTGGAGCAGGAGCGCCGGCGGGAGCAGGAGCGCATCCACCGCGAGCGCGAGGAGCTGCGGCGCCAGCAGGAGCTGCGCTACGAGCAGGAGCGGCGGCCCGCCGTGCGCCGGCCCTACGAGCTGGACAGGTGGGCGCCCTGGTCAGCAGCCCTGGTGGTGGGGCTGGGGCCTCCCCACGGCGGTGCCAGGGACTCCGCTCCGACCCACGCGCGAGGGGTGGCAGGGGTCCTGCTGGGGCCCAGCTGGGGTGCACTGTGATGCCCCGAGCTCCGAGCTGCAGAGGGCTGCTTAGGCTGTGCAGCGCTGTGCGGCTCACCCTGCGTCTGGCTCCATGGCAGAAATGCCTGTCCTGTCCCGTCCCGTCCCTTGCAGGAGGGACGACGCCTACTGGCCAGAGGCCAAGCGGGCCGCCATGGACGAGCGCTACCACTCGGACTTCAGCCGCCAGGACCGCTTCCATGACTTCGACCACAGGGATCGGGGCCGCTACCCCAACCACTCGGTGGACAGGTGAGCCGCCTGCCGTGCGGGCCCGGGAAGGCGCCGTGGGCCTGGCCCCTCACGGTGCGACTCTGCTTTGCAGGAGAGAAGGTTCCAGGTCAATGATGGGGGAAAGGGAAGGGCAGGTAAGTCGCGCCCCAGCCTCCACTCCGGTGAGGGGGACCGGGCTGGCCGTGGGCAGACGCTGCAGGGCGGTGCCGGGGTTTCCCTGCCCGAGGACCTGGAGGGGCCTCGCTGTGGGCAGCTGCTGCCCCCGTGCTGCAGGTGGATGCCTGTGCACCCTGCTATGGGGTTGGGCTGCGAGCAGATGTCACAAGCCTCTGTCACCCCCTCCACGCCACCTGTGCCTTGCATGCCCATGGCCTTGCTGATGAGGGGAGCGGGGAAGCCCTAGCCACACGCCGTGGGCCTGGGACCTTGCACTGAGTAGTCTGTCATCCCGGCCCCTGGGCTATGCCCGCGTGGTGGCAGGCACCAGGCTGCTGCCTCCGGGGCCCCGTGGTCTGCAGCTCCTTCCTCAGAGGCAGCAGCGCCCTTGGCGGCAGGTCGGGGTGCCTCTGACGGGCTGTTTTCTGACCCCAGCACTACCCCGAGCGCCACGGGGGACCTGAGCGGCACAGCCGGGACTCGCGGGACAGCTGGGGCTACGGCTCCGACAAGAGGATGAGCGAAGGCCGGGGGCTGCCGCCGCCGCCCAGGTGTGTGGCCCCCTCCCAGCTGCAGGTGGGGACACGGGGCTGGGGCTGGAGATGAGTGGCCTCTTTCTCCAAGGGACAGGCGCGACTGGGGGGAGCACGGCCGGAGGCTGGAGGACGACCGCGCATGGCAGGGCGCTGCGGACGGCGGCATGATGGACCGGGATCACAAGCGGTGGCAGGGTGAGCAGCCCTCTGCGCCTGCGTGGGGTGGGGCGGGGCGCGCTGTCCCCAGCCCCAGGCTCAGGGTGGCTCATGTGCCCTGGGTGAGAGCACCGTGTCGCACAGGTGGTGAGAGGAGCATGTCTGGTCACTCGGAGCCCGGCCACATGATGAACCGGGGCGGCATGTCAGGGTAAGGCGGGGCCGGGCCGGGGTGGGGGGTCGGCCGGGGTGGGACCCAGGGAGGGAACCCATGGCTCCCCTCTCCCCTCTCCTGCAGGCGTGGCAGCTTCGCACCGGGCGGGGCGTCGCGGGGCCACGTGCTTCCGCGCGGAGGGCTGCAGGGCTTCCGGGGCCAGAGCCGGGGCAGCCGGCCCAGCGACGCGCGCTTCACCCGCCGCTACTGAGCAGAGCCCACCCGACACCCCCGAGGCGCCTTCCCACCCGCCCGTGTACAAAGGAGTTTTTTTATCTGCTGCCATATTGTAGCTCAATACAATGTGAATGTTCGTTTTGTTTCTTTGGTTTTTTGTAATAAAGGTGTTTCCGTTCACACAAGCTGGCGGCCTCCTTCCCGAGGGCGCGGGGCCGGGGGCTCCGGGGCAACACTCTTGTCGTGGCCCAAAGACCCAAACAGCTGAACAGCTGCAGTGCGTCCCTGTCCCGCTGCTCCCCAGCAGGGCTTTGCAGGGATGCGGGCCTGCCACCCCACCTGTGACCCTGCAGACACCAGTGCCACCCCGTGGTTCTTCAGGCAGACCCTGCCACAGGCCCAAGAGCCCCAGGAGGGGTGGGGTGCACAGGGACCCCGGGACATCGGCATGTGGACAGCAGGGTCCCTGAGGGAGGCTGGCTGGCTTCCCTCAGCACTGCCCCCTCCCGTCACCCTGCGGACCCAGGGCCAAGGTGACCCCTGGCTGTCTTCACAGTGTTGCCTATTCAGAGGGGCCAGCAGCATGGCTGTGCCGGTGTAGGCCTGTCCGTCCGTCCGTCCTCCCCTACCCCACATCCTGCTGGGCCCCCGAGCTGCGCAGGAAGTGCAACCGCTGCTCCATACCAACATGCTGGTGGATGGGGCGGACAGCGAGGCCCTCCTGGCCTAAGGGTCCCTTCAGCTGTACAGGACATGTCCCCAGACAGACGGCCCTGGACGGGGCGTGTGTCCTGAGCCACCACAGAGCCTCTGCCCACCGCGCCACCAGACCCTGGTTCCCGACACGGCCCTGCAGCCAGGCCTGGCCCCACTCCCCACTGGGACCCAGGTGCCAGCAGGATGGGCGTGTTGAGGGCCAGGTCCATGCAGGGCCCAGTGCCCTCGCTGTCCCCCTCCTGCGCCTCACATGAGCGCCAGCCCGCGCTTTGCACAGTGCTGGGCAGAGCCCTGGGGGGTGGGGGCTGGGCTCACCCGTGACCCTCCTGCCTCAGCCTCCGAGCATGCTAGCACGGTGTGCACCAACATGGGCTGCGTGTGTCTGTGGACTGGAGGTGCAGTGCTCTCCCGAGGTCCTGGGTGCAGGCTCTGTGCCCCACCCTCGGTGTCACCGGTTCTGCCCCTGGGCCAGAAGGCAGTGCCCACCAGAGCGGCTTGTGGCAGAACAGCATCCAGAGCAGGGCTCTTAGGCCACTCCCAGGCGAGGACTTGGCCACGTGGCACAGCACTGGCCTGGCCCACCACGGCCCTGGTTCTGTGACCAGCACTCCAGTTGGGGGCAGCTTGTTGGTCTCAGATTGCTGTATTAACACAGTGACCCCAAATCCTGTCCCCACCCTGGTCCAAGGCTCCACGATGAATCTGATGCCTCGGGCTGGTCTGGGGGCAGCCCTGCCCCTGGTTCCAGGGCGGCAGGCCCCTCTCTGGGCAGGCGTGGGATGGGGTGAGTGGGTTTGGACGGTCCCCTCCCACCCCCAGCCCCGTCACTTGCTCCCTGCTGCCCGCCAGGCTGAGCCCTGAGGACACAGCGCAAGTCCCAGGCAGCTGCTCCCAGGGGGCCAAGGCACAGCGACCTGCAGGGGGAGGGTGGCAGCCACACGGCGGCACCAGGGCCCTGGAAAGGTGCAGACACCGTGGGTGTCGCGGAGATGCTGTGCCTGGCCCGGTCCCATCTGCGTCGCTGGGAGATAAACCCTGGCTGTCACCTTGTGCTCGACAGCAGGGCAGCCTTGAGAGGGTTGGTCTGCTTTCCCAGGTCCTTACCCTCCAGGCTGTCCCTGCCTCTGGCCCAGCCTGGCACCACAAGTGCCAGCCCCTCCCACATCCCAAGGCTTAGGACTGGGCTGTGAGTGTGACTTTACCTGCCCAGGGACGCACGCTGCTAAGCTGGGCGGGCGACAGTGGGCTGCGTTGTGTGTGGAGCCCCAGAGCATGCTACCACGGGGCTGCAACCCTAACTAAGCCTTTTCTCACAAAGCCAAAGTGGGAAGCCAGGCACAGCGGCGCACACCTGTCATCCCAGCACTTGGGAGGCCGAGGCAGGAGGATCGCTGTGAGTTCAAGACCAGCCTGGGCTACAAAGGGAGCTCAAGGCCGGCCTGACTGCATAGCGAGACCCGGCCTCAACAGATGGGGGAAAAGCTGGGGATTTAGCTCAGCGGCATACGCCCCTGCATAGCAAGTGCGAGGTCATGAGTTTGATCCCCGGTACCAAAAAACAAACAAAAGACAGGGAAAAAAGTGGGAGCCACACTTGGAAACGTGAACTTGCGCTCCTCCTGCCGTGCCCAGCCGGAGCGGGCTCTGTGTGGCCAGGCAGGTCTCCGTCCTCTCCCCTCGGGGCTTGGTGCCCCAGCTCCTCGGAGACCCTCCTTCCGCCCTTACTGGAGCCTGCTCCACCCCTACAAGTGCCCAGCAAGGATGGGGTGGCCCGCAGGTGACAGTAAACACGACGGTCACGCTCCTCAGGGATGCAAGACAGGCACTGCGGGTGCCCTGCTCCCAGGCCGGGCCAGGGGTTCCCCTCGGCTCCACAGCTTTCACCAGGGAGCTGAGGGCAGAGTCGGCTGTTCTGGGGAGCTACCCGGGCCGCAGATTAGGGGAGCTCCGACCTGAGGCCCTCGGAGCACTGAGCAGAACAGGGCCATCGGGCTGCGCTTGTCCGGGACAGGAACCACCCTGAGCTCTACGCTCTGGGCTGTGTCCCCAGCTCCACACCAGACAGACAGACACAGACAGAATCACTTTCCAAAGAAAAAGAGCGAGCACCGAAACCAGGCACAGTGGCACACACCTGCCACTCCAACACCTCGGGAAGCTGAGGCAGGAATGCACGGCTGGGACCAGCTTGGGCCACTTGGTGTCAAATTAAAAACGCGGGGGGGGGGGGGGGGAGCGCCCGGGTTTGATCCCTAGTGTTAAAAAAAAAATAACCTCTGGGCTCCTGCCCAGCTGGATGCCAGGGAGGCTCCAATTCTGTCCCCTCCCCATGCATGCTGGGCTCAGCCCCCAGCAAAAAGTTGAAGCCCCAGGCTCAGTCCTCCCTGGGACCCCAAGTGCTATCTGCAGACTCAGGGGCCCAGCGGCCTGCTGTGACTCCCCACAGTGTCCACAGCCAGACGACAAAGGGGCAGTGGCCTGGGGCCAGGAGCCCAGGCCCTGCCACTCCGCCCGCGGCCAGCACACAGGCGGGAAACACTGCCGAAGTCCTTTATTGGTCCGCCCAGGCCGGGAGCTGCCCTCGGAGAGGGGTGCCAGTCCAGAGTCCTGAGTCTGTGGCGTCCCTGTCCCCAGGCTGCCAGGGCCGGCGTGGCCCGCAGGGACCGGCTATTTGGTGCGCTCCTTCACAAACTCCCAGCCCTCCTTGGAGTACTCCTGGGCCTTGCTGGGCGCTGCCGACAGGGCCGACATCACTTTGATAATGCCTGCGGAGGAGATGCTCGTGGGGCTCGGCTCCCCGCCGGGGCTCCACCCCTTCCCCCCGACACAAGAAAGGGACCAAGCCAGCATGCAGAGGGGTCATCGGGCACAGACGGCCCAGGAGGCCGAGGCAGGAGCACTGCCTGAGGTTCGAGGCCAGGCCGGGCTGCAGCGAGAAACCCTGATCAAAGCCCCAGAGAAAAGGAACAAATGGCCAGGAAGCAAGAGGGCAGCCTGCGGGGTGCTGGGGCCCCCCAGGAAGGAAGAGGCGCGGGGCCTGCCTACCTGAATTCCAGGACTCTCGGATGGGAAAGTGAATCTTTGGAGGGGCTGGGAGCTGGGGAGAAAGGGGAGCAGGGGCTGGTGACGGGGAAGGCTCCCCAAAGGCGGGGCGCGGGGCGCAGGACTGCACAGCGGGCCTCGCCCAGCCGGTACCTGGGGGAGCTGCAGGCCCGTCTGCCGGCACACGTACTGGCTGAACTGGTACACGGCCGGCGGGACGGCCTCCTCCGCCCGCCGCAGGGCCGCCTCGCTCTTGTCGCTGGGCCCCAGCAGGTCCTGGTCGTACACCAGGTAGACGGCGCCCCCGGCCAGGCTGCCCTTGATGAGGAACCTGCAGACGGGGCAGGGCCGCAAGCTCAGGGCACACGCCGCCCGCCCTCGCCCCCGGGCGGCCACGCAGGTCCGGGAGCTCGGCGGGAAGCGCGGGCACCATCCCTGGGGCTCACAGCGCTCGGCAGACACTGTGCAGGGCAGAGCCCCTCACTTTAGCTAGCAAACTGAGGCCAGAAGGCGGGCAGGGAGCCCCCCGAGGTCCCGCGGGAGGGGAAAGTGACCCCGGTCTCCGAGGGCCTCGCGCGACCGGCGGGGTTCTCTCCAAGTGTCCCGGGGCGCTCTCCTGTCCGTCCCTCCGCTGTGGGACTCGGCGGGCGTTCCCATTTCACATACGCGGCCACTGAGGCTCGCAGGGCTGCGGCCGCAGTGGGTCCGGCGACAAGGGGTCACGGGGACGCAGGAGGCGACTCGGGACCTCAGGAAGCCCCCCGCCCTGAGTCTCAGCTCGCTCAGTGCGCCGCGGGATGCGGACTAACACTACGGGAAGGGCAGAGAAGCAGGGACCTAACCACAGTGGGTGAGGGCCAGCAGGAGGGGCTTCCCTCGTGGCCCGCGCGGCGCCCCACGCACCTCATCAGTGACCACACTCGGGCCACCATGGTTGCTCGGCTCCACGCGCAAGGACACTCAACTCGCCCGCGACTTCCGGTCGCGGGGCAGCAGGGGCCTCTGGGAAGTGTAGTCTTCCTTATCTGCCGCAAAGGATTCTGGGGGTGGCAGTCTCGCTAAGGCTCTGAGATACAGCAGCAGCCTGTGGTCGCACTCCAAGAGGCTTCTGGGAAATTGCGGACCACTAAAAACGTTGCCTAGGAAACGAGCAAGCCAAGCAAGCTCTGGTACGCCAGGCATTCTGGGCAATGTAGTCCATCTTGACTCGGTAGCATGAGAGGTAAGAAACTGGACTGAAGCCTAAAGAGAACCCAGAAAGATGGCAAAGGCCAAGAGAGCCACCCGCCAGCGCGAGAGACCCGGGGCCCAGAGATACGATGAGCAGCCTAGAGTGTGTTTTTACACAGCAACGCAAAGGCGAGATTGTTCCGGGAGACGGAGCCTACGTCACGTGGTTTGGATTGGGGCGGTGCTATCGGGGGCGTGGCCAGACTCAGACCCGGAAAATCAGACGGACGCGGTTGCCTGGCAACGCCGGAACTGAGTGAAGGAGCTCGTGGCCCGCGGAGTGGGTGAGTCGGGACCTGTAGGAAAGGCGTGATCGGAGGGGTCCTGCGGGCAAAGAGGCTGGAGGCATGTTCGCGACCGTCCCAGGCCCGGGCCTCGGCCCCCTGGACGGCGGCGGAAACTTAGTCATGAGTGAGGTGAGTGCGCGGTTGGGGGCGCGCAGCGGGTCACCACCTTCTCTGTGTGGACAGGATTTGGCGTCCCCCATTCCTCCTGCTTTCTGACTTGGCCGCTTCTGCCACTCACCCCCCCCCCATCTATTCATCCGTCTGCCTGTCCGTCCATCCCCCCATCCCGACCCACCTCCCCCGCTGTCCTGCGGTGGCCGGCGCAGGGCGGGCTGGGAAGAGGACTCAGCGAGGGCTGGGCATGGCTGAGGACTTCGGGCTTCCGGGCAGCCCAGAAAGCTTCAGGGTCGGGGCTGGCGGTCAAACAGAAATCCTGACCTAACTGCAGCCACTTCGGGAAAGCTGCAGTCATTCTGCCGCCGAACTCAGCTAAATTATGTGATTCGTCATCAAGCCGAAACGTCTGTGAGTGAAACGCAGCTTTGCTACATAGGCACCTGTGGTCATCACAAAATATCCATCGCACCCTGGCCCCCAGGAAAGCTGATCTTGTTCATGTAATTTCGGTTCTCCACCTTATAAGAAAGACAGGCTCTCTGTGACTGCCATCTCGGACTTTGGCGATTACTCCTTTGGGGTCCGCTAGCGTTAATAAAATTTCCTTTCTCCTCCTGAGCTCCTGGCTTCTGTTGATTCAGTTTCTCCTGCAACAGTGAGGGTTGAGGGTAAACAGGAGGGCAAGGCCCAGACCCCCTTGGCCTGGGTGGGCTGGGTGAGGGTTAGGGGCTTCTTGGTTCTGTTGGGTCCAGGAGGAGATCCACACAGGCTTAGAGCTGGGAAGCCCGGGCAGACTGCTTGCCACAAAAATCCCTTCTTCCTGACCTAGAGGAAAAGCTGGTGGACTGTGGAGGAAAGGCAGGGCTAGAAGGGAGGGTGAGAAGGGGGGGCAGGATGAGGTCCAGCAGGGAACCCTTGGGGCACAGAGGAGGGGACAGTGGGATCTGAATAACACCGTAGGGAGAAGCCGAGACGGCCTCTCCTTGACCTGTGTACTTCAGAGGACAGAAACTCCAAGATGCATCCCATGGCCCCTAGAAGTTGTAGCATTGCTCTCTGGTTCCTTCTCCCGGAAAGAAAAGAGCAAATCAGCCTCACAGCCAAAGTCACAACATGACCCCAGCAACCGGGCACCTCTGTGTCCACCCTGGCCCAGCCTCCGGGTCCACCCGGTCTCTGAGTGTCCACACACAGCCGTGTCCCTGGCACTGTCCCCTTACGCTGCACCCTTCCCTCACGGCACTCCATGTCAGCCTCCTGTGTGTCTGGGACAGTCTGGGGACAGTTTGAAGACCTAGTGGTAAAGAAAAAGTACATGCTTTCGGGCAATGCTGAGTCCTAAGATAGTTCCAGGCTCCCAAGTTCCAGCATTAAAGGAGAGGAATAAGGTAGGAACGAGCCCTAGGAAAGGGCAGTCAGGGCTGGGATGTGGCCCCCTGGCAGAGCTCAGGTTTAGGAAGAGCTCATTCTTGCACTGAAACTGAAAAGAAAGGAGAAATGCTAGTGGGGGAAATCGTTCCCAGCAGAAGATCAGCCAGTGCAAAGGCCCCGGAGCCGGATGGTGAGGGGTTGGCTTGGGGAGACAGCGGAGTGCCTCTAGAGCCATGAAGGTGCAGCTTCTCAGCGGGGCTGGGAGCTCTGTTTTTCGCCTACTACTGACCTAGGCGAGTGCTGACCTCTGCCCAGGCCGAACCCAGTTTCCTGGGATCTCGCCTGTAGGGGGCGCGCGTGCCGCACATCGGTCGGGCTCGGGCGCGGGCGAGTGTGCTGAGCCAGCTGGTCTGCCAGCAGCCTGAGCGCCCGGTTCGTGCTGGCGGCCAGCACCGATGCCCTGAAGCAGACCTAAGCTGCTCAGGTCCCGCTGTATGGCCGGGGCTTGGAAGAAGGAAAACGGGCCGGTTTGGAACCCCTGCCGTCATCCCGGCTTCCTGTGTGGCCTAGGGCAACTCACTAACCTCTCTGAGCCTGTTTCTTCTTTGCTACTATAGAGACAACAGAAGCATCTTCCCATGGTTTATGGGACTGTGCCAATACAGGAAAGCAGGAGAATCCCAAGTTCAAGCCCAGCCTGGGCAGGTTGGGAAGACCCGGGTTCAAAATAATAATTTTTTCAAACGAGCCGGGATTTGTGGCTTATTGTGAAGGCCACATTCAATCCCCAGGACCGATGGAGTGGGGGAGGAAGGCCAGCGATCTGGAGATGTGTGTGAAGCTGCCTGAATGCTAGATGTTGCTGATTGGTTCAATTAAACATCCATTGCTCAGAAGAGTGGAGGGGCTCCGGCTGGAGAGACCCCGGCAGCACTGACCTCCACCTGGTGGGGACCTGCCGGAAGCTGGGCGTCCCCCGGGCCTTCTACATCGCAGTGGACACAGCCTCCCCCTGGGCGCCCCAGCACGCAGTGCTATGGACACACCGTGTGAGGGCGGGCCGGCCTGGCCGTGGGGTTTGGTGCTGCTTCTCTGAGGGCAGAGACGGTCCTGGGGCCACGTGGATGGTGAAGCCTGCAGGACCAGGACATGGGGCCGAGCCCTTCTCGCAGAACCTCGCAGGGGATGCGGCCTCAGGGACCTGCAGCGAGTGGCCGGTCTTTCTGGGCCATGGGGGCTGGGCTACCGCGCGTTGACTCTTCGGCGGCGGACAAACAGGCCTGGAGCTCCCAGGTCACGCGCTGGCTCACGCCCCGGGCTTGGCCCTGCCCATTTTGTTTCAGGCCACGCCCCTCCTGGTCCAATGCTCCGCCCTTAGTCTTAGTTTGCCTTCTCGACTGGCTGTGAGCCACCGAGCTCCGCCCCTTCTGAAGCCTAGGCACTGCCCCCTCCATGCTTGTGCGTGTCTAAACTGAACCTCAGCCCTCCAACCCCTCCTCTTATTCTCATAGAGCATGCACCGTCCTCAGGCCTCGTCCCATCTCGCCCTTGGCCCCGCCCCGTGTTTTATCTGCTCCTGGAGCCCCCTCTTGGGGCTGGCGCAGCAGGGATCCCGGCAGCCTGGACACTGGGGCCAACAGAGACATCAGATAGGGGAACCTAGGAGGAGCAGGAGAGAGCAGGTTCTGCCTCCCGTTTCATAATAAAATCCATTGTCCCTCATCTGTCTTATTGGTTTACATTTCAAAATCCTTGGGCCTTCCAACTCAAAGGAGCCAGAATTCTCAAGCCCATTTCACAGATGGAGAAATTGAGGCTGAGGCAGAAATAGAACTCAGGAAGTCAGGGGAATGTGCTGGGGGCGGGGTGCATGCCTGCCATCTCAGCACTCTGGGAGGGTCCTGGGTTTGAGCTCCAAATGGTGAAGCACTCCTGCTATAGAAACTCCTGTGCTTTTGTTCTTGCCTTTATCTGATTCGGTTTTGTGGGGTCCCATCTCTGAGCTCTCTTAAATTCACCTCACCTGCCACCAGGAGGCGCTGTAACACACCTGCTCTCTGAAATCAACCCTTGTCACTGCAGGTTTTAGTTCATGGCACATACTGAGCTACACCCCCAGCTAGGTATGCACGAATGTACGTCCCTATGTATATGTATCTGTTTGCCTACAGACAGTCGCACTAATTGGTAAATAGTCCAGTTGACGCCGCTGGCGCAGGGTCAGCGAACAAGCGCCGAGAGTGGAACTCAAATTTTTATTCCACCCTGAGAGAAGCCCCACAGGGTCCAACTCGCCAGGAACGGCACGATTCTAACACGTCCTTTTGCGCATGTCCAGCGCTCACAGGCAGCTCCCGCCGCCAGGGGGCGCCCGCGAGCCTCGTGCCGCTCTAGGCCGCGCTTCCGGCGGTGAGTAGCTATCCCAGAGTTCCGCGCGGCCCCGGGCCTTCCGCCGCCGCCACCGTCGCAGAACCGCAGGTGAGTGGGCTCTCGCTCCTGGCATCCGCTGCCATCCAGGGCCCCGGCACTGCGGTGCGGGTCAGCGGGTGGCCGGGTGCGACGAGCGAACCCGAGGGAGCCGCGGGGCGGGGTTCCGGGCAGCGGGGACCGAGCCTGAGCTCAGCGTAGCCCTTCGTCCCCCCGCTTCCCAGCCATGGCCCTGCGCTACCCCATGGCCGTGGGCCTCAACAAGGGCCACAAGGTGACGAAGAACGTGAGCAAACCGAGGCACAGTCGCCGCCGTGGGGTGAGTTCGGGGTTCGGCGGGGTCCCCGGGAGGTGGCAGGCGGGAGGACTCCAGGAAGACGGATCGCTGCGCGGGGCGCGCACTGAGCGACACCGGGGCCGACAGGGAGGGCGCAAGTTTGGGACTTTGACGTACGAGCAGGAGTTTGCTCGGCTCGCCAGGAGCTGACCCGAGGTCTGATTTGTCGCTTTTCATGGGCAACTCTGACTCCGGCCGCCGGTGCGGGGCAATGCCCACGGCGCAGGGACTGCGCCAGCCCTGATGCAGAGTTCGCGCGGCTGCTGTCCTGCCGCGGAAGCTCTCCTCGCTTTGGGGTTTTATTACTTTTTAACTTTGTGTCCTTTTGAGATGGGGTCTGTCTGTGTAGCCCGGGTTGGCCTCGAACTCACAACTCTCCTCCTGCCTCGGCCTCCCGAGCGCTGGGGTGAGGGGATGCGCCCAGCGCCCGGCTGTAGCTCTGGTTCTTAGGGGCCCGGGGGTGCGCTCTGGCCTCGTGTGCTGGACTTCAGCCCCGCCTTAGCCCCGGGCCCGGGCCTGCCCGGCTGAGGTCTGGTGCAGGCTGATGCGCTGCAGCCTCTGCCCGGAGCGCAGCCCGGGAAACCGAGGCAGCAGCCCGCTGACCCGCCCTGTCCCGCAGCGCCTCACCAAGCACACCAAGTTCGTGCGGGATATGATCCGGGAGGTGTGCGGCTTCGCGCCCTACGAGCGGCGCGCCATGGAGCTGCTCAAGGTCTCCAAGGACAAGCGGGCGCTCAAGTTCATCAAGAAGAGGGTAGGTGGGGGGGGGGGTACCGGCGGGGCGGGCGGGCAGGCCGGCCGGGCTGGGGTGACAGCGCCTCTGTCCCGCCCGCAGGTGGGCACGCACATCCGCGCCAAGAGGAAGCGCGAGGAGCTGAGCAACGTGCTGGCCGCCATGCGCAAGGCCGCCGCCAAGAAGGACTGAGCCCAGGAGTGAGCCCGGAATAAAGCTTTGCTTTGCGGGAAGGGAAACCCCTTGTGCGTGTCTTCTGTCCCCGACGCGCCCACTCGCCCTCCGGGGCACAGACACAGGCGCCAGCCGCCCGGTACCAAAAATGCTTGCTTTACTCATGATTCAGCTCCCTGATTCAGTCCGTCCGGTCCCCCACCCCTCCCGCGTCACCGCTCCACGGCCAGGACCTCCGCGTGCCGCTCGGCCCCGGGGAAGGCGATCTCGAAGACCTGGGCGTAGTGGGTGACAAAGTGCACCTCCAGGCCCTCAGTGATGAAGGCCGCCAGGTCGTAAAAGTCCTTCCTGTTCTCCTCGGGGAGGATGATGCACGTGACGCCGGCGCGCTTGGCCTGGGGGCGCGGGACGCTGGCTCAGCGCAGGCAGCAGTGACAGCAACAGTGGGGGAACGCCAGGCGGCCCTGCACCACACCCCCAGCCTCCCGCTTGGGCCAACTGAGAACACTGGTCCCTGGCACCATGCACGGGCGGCCCCCAGGTCCTGTGCCTGGACCCTGCATAAAGATAGCGGCCAGGCAGAGGCAGTGCGTCACCCTGAGGGGCTGCAGGGCCGGGGGCAGGAGCCAGGGGACAGCCCTGTCCCGTCTGTCACTGCTGTGCCCTGGTGGCACTGGTGACTGGGACACTCACCGCGATCATCTTCTCCTTGATGCCACCCACAGGCAGGATCTTGCCCGTGAGGGACACTTCGCCCGTCATGGCCAGGTCCTGCCGCACGGGTTGGTCCAGGGCCAGCGACAGCAGGGCAGTGACAATGGTGCAGCCAGCACTGGGCCCGTCCTTGGGGGTGGCGCCCTGCGGGGAGCAGCAGGTGTGCGGCTGTGTTGGGGCACAGAAGCGGGCGACGGGTGCAGGGGGCGGGTGGGGCGCGGCTGACCTCGGGCACGTGCAGGTGGATGTGCGAGGTGACCAGGAAGTCGTTGTCCAGGTCCCGCTGCATCAGGAAGGCGCGTGCAAAGGTGTACGCGATGCGGGCGCTCTCCCGCATCACCTCGCCCAGCTGCCCGGTCACCTCCAGCGTGCCGTCCTTCTTCTCCCCGTCCTCCCCGGCCCTGGCCCGCGGCCGCCTCAGCGAGGTCTCGACAAACAGCGTGGAGCCCCCTGGGGAGGTGCGGGGCCCTGAGCCACCGAGTCCCCGGCACCCGGGAGCTGGCCCCGCACCGCCTGGGCAGCGCCCACTCACCCATGGCCGTCCAGGCCAGCCCCATGACCACGCCGGGTGGCGTGGCCCCGTACATGCGCTCCACCGTGAACACCGGCTTGCCCACGAAGTCCTGCAGGTTGGCGGGCGTCACCTCCACCGCCTCGGCCTCGCCGCTCACGATCTTGTAGGCCACCTTGCGCAGCACCTGGGCAGGGCGGAGGCAGTGGGCGGTGGGCCGGGTGCAGGGGCAGCGGGGGCAAGGCCTGCGGTGCGGCGCGCGGGCGGGCAGGCGGGGCTCACCTTCTCCACCTGCTTCTGCAGGTTGCGCACCCCGCTCTCGCGGCAGTACTGCTTGATGAGCAGGGTCAGCACGGCGGCCGGCAGCCGCGCCCGGCCCTCGTCCAGGCCGCACAGGGCGCGCGCCTGCGGCACCAGGTAGCGCTGCGGGCAGGGAGCGGGCTCAGCCTCCGCCCACCGGGGTGCCACTCACCCGGGGCTGAGCCAGCACCCGCGGCCCTCGGCCTGCCGCTGAGGCTGCGGGCACCTGGACGGGCACAGGGCCACACGGTCCCCCACACCAGGGCTGGTCCCCGCCCTGCCCTCCTGCACCAGCGCTCGAAGCTCAGCCCTCTGGGGAGTCCCGAGGGGCAGGCTTGGCCTCCCAGGCCGGGGACCCCTAGAGCCCTGCCCGACCCCCCACCTCGGCGATGGCCAGCTTCTCCTGGGCCACGTAGCCCGACACGTTGATCATCTCCATGCGGTCCCGCAGCGGCTCGGGGATGGTCTCGGTGACGTTGGCCGTGCAGATGAACAGCACCTTGGACAGGTCCACGGGCACGTCCAGGTAGTGGTCCAGGAAGTTGGCGTTCTGCTCGGGGTCCAGCAGCTCCAGCAGCGCCGACGACGGGTCCCCCTGGTAGCCGCGCCCAATCTTGTCCACCTAGGACAGTGGCGGGGAGACCAGGGCTGGGGTCACCACCTCACGCACCATCCCTGCCAGCGCTGTGGTGCTGCAGTGGCTCCTCTGGTGCCAGGGTGGCACCCGCTGGGTCCCCACGAGTCTTTCCTAAGACGGAGCTTGCTAAGTCACCAGGTGGTCCCTGCTGGGGCGGCCCTCCCGCCCAGGCCCGAGGCTGGGCTGAGGTGGGGGACGTGAGGGACCCGCGCGAGGGCTACCTCGTCTATCAGCACCAAGGGGTTCTCCGTCTTGGTCTTCTTCAGGCACTGGATGATCTTCCCCGGCATGGCGCCCACATAGGTCCTCCTGTGGGGGCCAGGATGGGTCAGGGGCCCGAGCGCCCTGGCACCTGTGTGCCACAGAGACCTGGTGCGCTACCCACCCTTGTTTCCCGTGTGCCTGTGCGTAAGCCACTGCTCAGGCAGACAGGAACCAGGACATGTGGCGCATGCCCGAAATCCCAGCCCTTGGGAGGCTGAGGCAGGAGGATCACTGTGAGTTCAGGCCAGCCTGAACCTCACAGGGACTTTGAGACCACCCTGAACTGCAGTGAGACCCTATTAAAAGACACAGCAGAAGGCAGAGAGGGAGTCTGATTCATGGCAGAAAGGCTGTGTGCGTGGGGGCCCATGTCAAGCGCTGCTTGTGGGGTGGATGAGCCACTAAGTCTGGGTCTCTATGTGTGTGCACATGTGTGTGTAAAGACCTAGAAACAGCCTCTGGCCAAGGAAGGTCTGGAGTGGGTGTCAGAAGCTGCAGCAGGCCAAGCAGCAGAGCACAGCTGTGCAAAGGCCCTGGAGCAGCAGAGCCTGGTACGGTGCAGGAGCGGGGGGGCGGGAGGTTGTGAGGGCCCTTGGGCTGCAGGAGGCCCTGAGCTCTCACCCAGGGAGGTGGGGACCCTGGAGGGCGGAGGGGGATTCCTGGCTGTTACCCTCATGATCCACTCAAGCCCAGCTGTGAGCTTCCTGTCCTCTCCTCCCTTCCCCAGAGGTCACCTCAATGCCAGGGGCACCCACTACTTTGGAAGGTGCTGAGGCCTCTCCTCCCCGCCAGGGCGGCTCTGCTTCAGCTCCTGGACGCAGAGGGGCCTGGGCCTCACCACAGGGAAGGAAACCAGACAGGAGCTGAGGTTTCCCAGCTGGCTCGATGCTGAGAGCCAACCCCACCCCTGGTCCTGGGCTGGCACCCAGCCGACCGGGCCACAAAGCCACACTGAGCTCCAGCTGGAACACAGGGCCTGGGGTGGACTCCAGGAACAGGAGGTGAGCGCAGCCCCATGGAGCACCTGGGTTCAGCCAGGCCTGACGGCCACCAGCACCGGGTGTTACAGCTCTGTGCTCTAGCGAGTGGAGTCGGGGCCAGGGCACGCTAAGAACAGGAAAGCCTGCCGGGGAGGCCCAGGTGGGCAGGCAGGGCGGGAGGGGACGCGGCACGCACCTGTGCCCCTTGATCTCGGCCACGTCGGTCATGCCCCCGACGCTGAATCGGAAGTACTCTCGGTTGAGGGCGCGGGCGATGGAGCGTGCGATGCTGGTCTTGCCCACGCCCGGGGGGCCGTAGAAGCAGAGGATCTTGCCCTGCGTGGAGCGGCGCAGCTGGCTCACAGCAATGAACTCCTGCAGGATGGGCAGGGTGAGGGCTGTGCCCGTGCACAGCCGCAACTGTCCAAAGGGCCAGGCTCGTCCCCAAGGGGCCACCAGAGGCAACGCAGGCCCCGGCCACAGCAGGGACAGGGCCCACAGAGCCCACCGGCCTGGCCCCACTGGCCTCTGCCACCCTGCCCGGCTCCTGGGGCCCCAGCATGACGTGGCAGCAGGGAGGGGTGGCTGTGGTTCCCAGGGGGCTGCAGGAGTCCCCAGGCTGTGACCCCGCTCAGCATCTAAGCCCTGGCCTCATCCCCAACCCTGGCCTGCGACCCCACATAAACCCAGACTGTGACGGGCTCTGCCCCGTGTGTCCAGCCCAGTCCAGCCCAGGGCTAAGGACACGAGCTTGTGCTGCCCAGCGGGGGCCATGCGCCCCTCGGAGCTCACGCACAGGAGAGGTGATACCTGAAGCCCTGGATCCTGGCCCTGGAGGACAGCCCTGGGAACAGGGCCCTCACACGGTGGCGAGGATGGGAAGGGCTGCGAGGCGGGGACCTCTCGGGCATTAGTGGCTTGGTGACATGAGAGCCGGCTGCACGCGCCCTGCCCCAACCCCACCGTGCGCTGCGCGGCAGCCTCACCAGGATGCGCTTCTTGACGTCCTCCATGCCGTAGTGGTCCTCCTCCAGCACCGCCTGGGCCCGCCTCAGGTCCAGGTTCTCGTTGCTGTGCCTGCCCCACGGGATGGACGTGAGCCAGTCCAGGTAGTTTCGGGTGACACTGCGGCAGGACAGACAGCCGGTGAGCAGGGGCTGTGCTGGGGCCACCACTGGCTCGGCAGGGCCACACCTTGGGCTTCTCGGGGCCACCAGACCCGCCCCCGAGCGGGGCCTGGCACATGCCGGCAGGGCTGTGTACTAGGCTGTGCTTTCTCTCAGGGCTGAGAGCCACTACGGGGCGCCTGAGGGAGCCAGCGCAGTGACAGGCCGTCCAAGAACATGCGGCCACCAAGGTCACTGTCTGGCCTGTGGGACGCAGCAGGAAGGCCAACAGGCCCTGGATCACTCAGGCCGAAGGCCGCACAGAGGGCTTGCTTCAGGGCGACACGACATCCCTGTCAAGGACACTGATGGCCGAGCCAGCCCTGGGCTGCAGGCACCTTGGGCTGCCCTGGGGAGACGGATCCTGGCTGGGCAGCAGTGCAGGGGCCGCGAGCATCCTGGGGACATGGGGTGCCTGGGACCTCGGGACAGAACCTGTTGCACTGAACAACACAAACCCTGCAAGGCTGAGGCAGGCACATGCTACAGGGCA